GTGTTTGCAGACTGGACATCTTGCATCTTTGATGTGGTTTTCCAGCTACAAGCGGTAACTGTATCCTTTGGTTCTTGGCTTCTTCCTCCATTTCAAAGCCACAAAACAGGGGTCAAGCCTCTTTCATGGGTTGAATCTCTCCCACCCTTCATCTGTTTTGTCCTCTTCTGTCTCATTCTTCCACTTAAAAAATAGATTTGTTTTCATTTTATTTATGTGTGTGTGTGTGTGTGTGTGTGTGTGTGTGTGCGCGCGCGTGAGCATGTTGCAGATGCCCATGGAGGCTAGAAGAGGGTGGCAGATTGCCCTGGAGCTGAAGTAGAGGTCATAATCTGCCTGACAGGAGTGACTGGGAAACCAACTCTGGTTCCTCTGCCAGAGCAGTAAGGGCTCTTAAATGCTGAGCCATCTTGTCAGTGCCCTGCTCTCTCACTTTCAGAAACATATGTTATGGGGTGGTAAGACAGCTCAGCGGGTAAAGGCGTGTGCTACCAAGCCTACCGACTTGAGTTAGATCCTGGGAGCCCACAGGATAGGAGGAGGAAACTGACTCCTGCAAGCTGTCCTCTGACCTTCAGATGCACCCTGGGCCATATGCACTTTACCCCAAACAAATACAAGTGTAATAGAAAGAGAGTGTTATTAGAAGGTGTTGGGATGCCACTGGGTCAGACAATCCAGGATTGGATTCCCACCCCTACGTCATTCACCTCTGTCAAATCTGCCTTCACAACTCCCAGAGATTAGCTGTGGATATCACTAGGGCCGTCTTTCTCCACACCCCGTAGCTGTGTCTCACTTAGTTTATCCACCTTCACAATCTTTTTTATATCTTCCCTTGTTTCCTTTTTTTCCTCCTCATGTCCTCTGTCATTCCCATGTTTATTTCTTCCTTAAGAAACCAAGTTTTATTTGAGAGGGGGTTGTATGTATGTGACAGGCACAGCAGTGGGACACTAGTAAGAAACTGATGGGGGCTGAGTTGGTAGAGTGCTTACCTGGCAAGCATGAAGCTCTGGATCCTATCCCCTGGGGCTAGGCACAGGCCTATAATCCCAACACTTGGGAGGTGGAGGCAGGAGAATCAGAATTTCAAAGTCATCCTTGGTTACAAAGAAAATTCGAGCCACGAGTACATAAGACATTATAGCATGGGCCGTCAAGTAGCTTACAATTGGATGGAAGCAGTTAAATTAGTTAAATTAGTTAAAGGAAAAAAATGTAGTAGAATATGTTGCTCATATAGCAAGTCTTTGTAATGTTCCCCTGGACTCACCAACTCTTCTTAGAGTCAAAATAGAATAAATATTGTAACTAAACACTGAAAAGGCTACACCTGCCGGTGACAGTATGCATGTCACTCAGGGAACACTTGTGAGCCTGGGTAAGTGTGTCACAGACTGCAGTGGGATCTACTGCTTCTTTCGTTCCTCCACCAAGAAAAGGATGCTTGAGCAGGGAAGTTCATGCAGCCTCAAACCTTGATTCCTTCCTCTCTTGTTTGCTTCGTCTCTATAGCCAGCAGTTTCTTTTCCCTGACTCTAAAAACTCCACCTTGATATTGCTTGCCCTTAAAGCTACAGCCCCCTTTTCTCTAGTCTCAGTTCTTGATTCAATTTATTGTAACATTTATAGGGTTCTTGTACTTATCTGGTACCGGGGATACAAAGAGAAAAAGAGTTTCTGTTCTTTAAAGCAAAATTTGTTTTTGTGGCTCTGACAAGCCAGTCACATTCTGCTGTTTGACCCCTTTTCGTTTCATTTCTTTAAGTCGAGCCTTCCCAGTCCATTAGCTGAGCAGATCTCTCCATTGCTGAACTATTTCTTCTCTCGGTCTTAAGGAACCTGGATGAATCCTCTATTCCACTTACTCTAGTGTCCTCCACAGAAAAAAAAAGGCATTCTGGCCAGGCACTGTCAGCATCAGGAGGCAGAGGCGGGTGGAGCTCTGTAAGTATAGAGGCCAGGTTGGCCCACATACCATGTTCCAGGATAGCCAGGGCTACATAATAGAGAAATCCCATCTGAAAACGAACAACAAAACAAAATGACATTCTGCTTGTGTGACAGTGTGAATAACCGTGGCACAATAATCCTCTTGACCCTGATGTCCTCATGTACAGTGTGGGGCCTGCATAATTCCCAGCGATCATTGGGAATCTGCTTGAGATGCAATATTTATAATGTTAGTAATAAACATGTACTAAGAATTTCTGGCATGGAGATTATTTTCTTCCAACTTGAGGAAAGAAACAACACTGTCTGAACCCTGCTAGACCAATGGAGAGAGGAGGAAAGTGATTCTCTGCAAGAAGGTTGGTCTTTAGTCTCAATCTAAGAAGGTTCAAGAGGGCAGGGACAGAGAGCAGAGGGATCATCACATGATATCAGGGTCCAGGTGAGATGTCATGAACCTTTTAGCTGGCCCTCAAAAGCAGGAGGAGAAACACATTTACTCTCTCTTTGTGGGTGACATTCTTAATGATTGTATTCATTTCTTACCCTCAATAAGACTATCATTCCCCCCATGTATCTTCGCCACTTAGGAATGCAAATTCTTGGACTCTGTCCTAGCCCTACTGACTTGGCAACCTGGGGTGTTGGGCCTCCCAAATTCACTCTAGAGGGTGTGTTTCATCTTAAGCTTGAGATTCCTTGCTCTAAGCCGAGGTTAAGGCTCCTGCCTATAGCTACGATACAAGGTTAGTCATGTGTGCCTCTCTTCTCACCCACACTGATCCCTCTTCAGCATTTGACTCTTGTCAGTTTTCTGACGTCTGGGCTAATTCTCCCACCTTCTCTCTACCTGACAGTTTTTCTCCCCCTAGTCTTTGTTTGGCTCTTATTTTCTTTAAACTTCTTCAGGATCTTTCCTGAGCCCCTCTCTTCTCACCATTGTTGAGGGATTCCATCTGTTACGCCAACTCTTGTTTTCCCTGCTTTTCCATCTTCTCTTTATCTTCTGCCTCATAGAGCTCAACCAATCCATCCTCAGCTGAGCACCGTACAGGTTTTACCAGCCCAAAGCTGCTCTTCTGAGTCTCTCAGCATTTACAACTAGTTCTCAAAGGATAGTGTAAAGTCATTCTCACATCCTCCTGGTGTTCTGCTTTTCTGAATTCAGCCCTCCTGCCAAATCAAGTCCTGTTGATTCGCCCTCCACAAATCTCTGTAGTTGCTCCCTTCCCCTCAAGCCTGTTGTCTTACTTGGCTTCTCATCCTCTCTTACCTTTGAATTTATGATAATTTACGACTGCCTTCACCTTCCTCCAATTCCTCCCAACTCAGTATTTTCTCAAAACATATATCTGAGGAGTAAAACGACTCCTGCTTTCTTAGAGAGATCCCTTGCTGCTTGCCAGACAACTCAGCCACCTCCAGGCTCTGTACTTCACCCAGTCATTTCTTAGCCCTGGCTTCTCCATTTCAGTCATTTTTGCTGATCAAAATCTGCCTGCGGCCATCCGTGTACTGGAAGAAGGAACCTCTTTTCTCCTGGATCTCTCAGTTGGAAGACCTCCTGTACTTCCTCCCATTTCTATAATGATTTGAGCACCTTACTTTTTTGTTTGTTTGTTTGTTTGTTTGTTTTTCGAGACAGGGTTTCTCTGTGTAGACTTGGCTGTGCTGGACTCGATTTGTAGACCAGGCTGGCCCAGAAAGTCACAGGGATCCGCCTCTGCCTCTCTGAGTGCTACCTGAATCTCTATCCCTTCCTCTAATCATCTGGCATGACAAGGATATCTCTTCCCTCAACATCACCTGTAGCACATAGTAGGCTCTCAGCAATGGCTTGCTATATTGATCTGACTGTGTTGAAATGGAGCAACAGTTTAGGCAGCAGCAAAATGATGATATGAGCATCTGTGGGGACAGGAGCCTGACAGGTCGTCAGCAGTTTGTCTCTAGGGTCAGTGCTGGCCACATTCTTTGGAGAGATGGTTGGCTGAAGAGTATTAACTTGCAGGATGGAAAGATAGTTTCCTAGACATCCAAATCAGCCACTTTTTACTCTCTACACCCCGCCATCTCTCTCCCAAGAAGGCCCGTGTTTGAGATCTCTTTCCCCTTTATTAGCTGTGTTTGTTGGAGCACTCCTCAGCTGCAGCTTCCTTAGGTCTCCTCTCTTCCCCTCTTTGTTTATTTCCTTGTCACCGGCTCTCTCTGACTGTGTTGTAAACAGAGCCAGTGACTGTCAGCCTGGGGCTTGAGCAGTGAACCCATCACATGCCCGCTCTAGAATCCTGTGAAGGGCCCTCCCTGCTGCTCAAAAGCAGCTCTGGGCACTGGCCCAAACTAGCCAGAAGGTTGTGCTCCTGACCACCCGAATGGAACTTTACAGACAGAAGCATCACATGCCACCTTCTCTCTACTCCTCTGAACCTCTCTTTTGATCCTGTTCTTGACAGCACAGGCCCCTGATAGCTCATTGTCCAAGTGGCACAGGGAATAGTGTGGGTTTCCTCTGCATAGGGTGACAAAGGACACTGAGCACTTCCTGTCTAAAACCCATCTATTCTAATATCTTCCTTGTCCTTGAGAAAGTTGGAGCTGTGCCTGACATGGATTGCCTGGCTATTCTAAATCCTAAGTCTAAATGGCTTTTCCTAGTTATGGAAGGGGAGAGGGATAACCTTGAAGCTAGGCCAGGAATGTGGGGTTGGATTTCCTCCTTCTCCATGTCTCCAAGCCAATGCTCCTGCCTTGGTGGGATCCTCAGCAGAAAGGCAGACCACCGTCTCTCTCCCAGGTTGCTGACCTCAGCCACCCCCTTCTGCTCTCTGCTCCTGGCTGAACTTGCAGAGCGCCCAGTGCTTGTGTTCAAGCCATCAACAGAGAGCCACACAGGCGCTGCCATCCTGCTGGAGCCGGCGGTCCTCCCCCAACTGCGTGGCTGCGCATCATCTGTCAGAGTGCCCCTCTCCCCTCCCTCTGCCTCCCCGCCCCCTCCTCTGCGCTCGCTCACTCGCTCGCTGGCTCGTTTGCTCTTTCCCTTTTCATGAGATGCAAAGCCTGGCGCAAAGCAGAGCTCTCGGAGCAGCATGTTGCAGGGGCTCTTCTAGGGGTCCGAGGTGAGGAGGCCACGGCCCACCACCCTCACCCATGTACCAGGAGAAGGCTGACTCTGTCACTCAGGGCTTCACCGAGCCATGCCCAGCTGGGGCCGACACCAGCCACATCTTTCCAGCTGCGCTGCCCATTACCAGACAGGTAAGAGAAAGCGGCTATTTCTCACAGGGAGCCAGATGGATCCCCAAACAGGCCAGAGAGAATCAAGACAGACAACAGAGAGCAGAAAGGCACTTCCCTCTGTCACAATCTCCACTTATTTTCTCTCAGAGCTCCTCGCAGCAGGGCAAGCCTGCCACTCTGGTCCAGAGCAAGGATTCGGAATACCCTGTTCTTCCTACTTAGCAGAAGATGAACCGTATATATGCTCTTTCTTTTCTTTTCTTTCTCTTTAAATTTCTTTCTTCCTTTTCTCGTTTTTTTTTTTTTATCTGTCTCCACCTCAACTCCCCAGGACCCCCGAAGTCTGCTTTCTGTCAGACAAGGATCCTGTTCTGTTTCTGGCTTCCAATTTCCTGGGGTGGGGATGTCCCTAAAAATGCTGTCAGTTTTCTGGACGGTGCCACAGGCTTCTTATTTTTAGTTTCATTCATGTCTTGCTCAGCTGTTGTTTGGAACGGGGGTCGCCCGGCACAGCAGCCTGGCTGCGCATAGCATCTGTCTTGTTTCTAGTCAGCCAAGCAGGTCGGCTGCTGGTGAACTAACAGTAGTGACACATTCCGATGCAAAGGGACTCACAATGACAATGAGTCTGAGGGAGATTAAAATGCATCGGAGGGTACCAATTCCTAAGTGGCAAGTTAAGGGCACATATACCAGCTACAGGAGGTGATAGGTCCCTGGCGTGGTAGCTGGTGATTCTTCTTTTTTTTGGGGGGGAGGGGTTGTGTTGGGGGGAGGAGCATGCTGCATTGGGGAGGGTGTTAGTTCTTCTTTCTGTTAGAACTGCTTGACGTCCATCCGTTGTCTGACCATGTACTGAAAATCAGGCTCTCGGGTCTCAGTGCCCTCTGAATTTGGGAGGCTTCTATCTGCAGCAAGGCAGGAAAGCTTAACCTAGCCTGAAACTTGGCTTAAGTCGGGACCACTTGTTCTGGCAGATTAGAGGGTACAGGGGGTGGGCTGGGGAATTGAGGGTGTGATAACTATTCATGAGGTCACATTAGTGATTTGGAAAAGACAGACATCTAAAAACAGGCTACACTGTGTTGTCCTGAAGGCAGCTCTTATTATCCTTTTGGAAACCACCACAGCCCACGAGCTATCCACGAAGCAGTCCAGTCCATATCTCGGCACTGACAGGCCAAGGTGAGTGCTCCTGACTGTCAGAACCTCTTCGTTTTATTTTATTCCTATTAATATTTTTTAAATGTAGTGCCTGGATTAACCACTTTTCCTGTTGCTACGATAAAATGCCTGGCAAGAGCAACTTGAAGGAAGCGTTTATTTTGGCTCACGGTTTCAGGGTGCACAGCCCACTATGATGAGGAAGGCACAGCAGCAGGGATGTGAGGCCGCTGGTTACACTGTATTTGCCGTAGACAGCAGAGTGTCGCCATGTTCTGTTTGGGACACCAGCCCATCAAATGGTGCCACCCACAGTTAGAGTTGGTTTTTCGACCTCAGTTCATCCCATGCAGACGTGTCCAGAGGTTTATCTCCTAGATTTTAGATCTTGCCAAGTTGATAATTTATCATTCATTACAGTGACGAGCACACAAAAGGAAGCTGGAAGGGTATTTAGATTCCGTGTTAAACCTCCTGCTTATGGCGGCAAAGCCTTTCTGTCATGGGTCAGTGAGCTCTGACCTGGAGATACAATCTTAGCCACCATGGCCTTATGACGACTGCCAGGTACTCTTAGCAGAGATGCTGGCCAACCAGTTAAGCAGAATGTGCTTTATGAAGCCCCTCTTCCCAAAACTGTGGATCTCAATGACGGGGCAACAGGTGACCATGAAGACAGTGTGCTGGTGGAAAAAACCGCTGGCGACCCTGGATTGCAGACTTGACTTTGGTAATCTGAAAAATGGGAGCAATCACAAGTGCTCAGTTATTTTCTGAAGTTTTTTTTTTTTTGTGTGTGTGTGTGTGTGTGAGCCTCGGCTAAAAGGGGTATGATAAAACAGCCTCCTGTGATGAAGACGCACTGAGAAACGCTGCTAGGAACTTTCCCTTCGTTGTGAGGCGTAATCTCCAACTTCTTGGGAGATAAGATAAGGCTCAATGAGGTTAAAAACCATGATCAGGTTCGGCTGAGAAGGGCAAGCACTTTATAAGTCTCGACTGTGTTGCACAAGTGAAAGATCTGTGATGTGCTCATGACTTCGCAGCTACCGCTACCTTTCCTGACTTACTGAGATGGAGGTCAGGGCCTCATTCATGCTGGCCTAGCGCTCTACCTGAGTGAGCTACCTCCTTAGAGGTAAAATAGCTTTCCTGTGAGTCCTAGCACAGGCTCCCTATTTTGTGGTTTCTCACACCTTCTTCACCCAAACGCCTACATCACTGGGGAATGCTCTGCTCTAGAACTAGGTTGAGATTGTCCACTATCCAGAAATTCCAGCCCTCTCCTTGGGGGTCTTTGAAAACTGCTGCAGTTTCCAATAGCCTCTTGCAGTTTTCAGGAAGAGGTTCTAGAAGGAAGAGTGTCTTGGAAAAGGTTTAAGGTGGTTTTCTTGTCAAGGGCTTGCCTGTCTAGGCAGAGGGTCAGTGAGAATTTGCTTGGTATCCCTGTACATTGAGGCACACCCACACAGCCCCGTCCCTCCTCCCATCCCCTGTGCCATCACTAATGTGAGCCAGGCATCTGCCTGGAAGTGAGGCAGGGAGAACACTCATTTCCCAGAGGGCTCTGGATTCAGGAGCACATCCAGAGGGCCACCCCTCTGCAGGGTCCCAGTGTGGACAGCAGTATTTCCTGTGGCTATAGCTGTGCCCAATACCTCCATGTCGTATTCCAGGTTCCGATGGCTGTGGATTTCCCCTCTGCTGATCCAGGTGGCTGGCTAGGATGATACTGGAAGGGAGGACAGGAAAGCCATTGCCTGAAGCCAGCAAAACAGAGGGTTAGAAAGAGATTATTTTATATTCCGTGTGTGTGTGTGTTTTAGCAGCCTCTGCTTACAGCTGTGGACACTGATAGTGAATGGTGAGGCTTTTGTTACTTTCTAAGAAGGGAAAGAAAATGATAACCTGGGAGCGATAGAAAGGAGGACAGAGTGATGTTCCAGCTGTGGCAGTGACTTCTGCCCATGGGCCTGGGAAGCCAGGAGCTCTCTTTTCTCATGCCTGGCCCCACTGTGCTCTTCACGACCGCAGCCTCCATCCCATTCCCATTTGGTCTTGGGCCTCTGCCTTGTCTGGTGGGATGCTTGCTATGGGCCTGTATGCTTTCTTGAGAATGAATAATTTCTAATCCATGTCTGCTTTGACATTTTCGTGAGTTCTTGTACAGTTGGCCTTGTTTTGGTAACTTTAATTTCACAGATTAAGAGAGCAAGATCCTAGGAAAAGCTGAATCTGACATGAATAGGCAGAATGAGAACTTGAACCCCTATCAGCGATGTCAGAAAGCCTGTAGCATTTTTTTTTTCCTGACTCCCGTGTTGGCCAGCTTCCTGCTCCAGACCAAGACAGGGGTCTCTCTTGCCTTACTACTCACAGGCTCAGGCCATTTTGGTACTGCAGCATTTTCTTGGTTTCAGGAGCCATGCTAAGTTTGAGGGAGGTACAGGTGGAAATATTTTTTTACCTATGTAAGGTACGTAGGCAACACAATGTGCTCACATGTGACACATCGCTTGGCATAAACAGTATGTATATTGAGTATCACTTGAATGAAGGAATAAGTAAGTAAACACATTTCTGTGTCCTTGATGAACTTAGGGTCTTACAAGGCAAGAAATGTAGCTAGCCACCTCCTTGCCCTGTGCCAGGTAGACAGATATTCCCAGGAGCCTCAGGGGTTTGGAGGGTACTTGCTACACTGAGTTGGGCAAAGGGGGGGTTCCTCAAGTTCGGTTTGAGGGATGAGTTTGGTTAGTAAAGTCAAGAGAATTGTAGGCAGGTGGACTGAGCAAATAAAGTCTAGGAACACAGAACCCTGTGCTGAGTGAGTGAGCACTGCAGGGTGTTGGAGTTCAAAGCTCAAGCAAGGGGAGTTCCCAAGGGAGGCAAGACCCAGGTCAGAGGGAATTTATTTAGTAACATTTTTTTTTTCCTTTTTTAACTATTACAATTTATTCAATTTGTATCCTGGCTGTGCCCCCCTCCCTCATCTTATCCTCATCCCTCCCTCTTCTTCCCCATGCCCCTCCCCTAGTCCACTGATAGGGGAGGCCCTTCTCCCCTTCTATTTTACCCTGGCCTATCAGATCTCATCAGGACTGGTTGCATTGTCTTCCTCTGTGGACTGGCAAGGCTGCACCCCCAAGGGGGTGGTGATCAGGGAGCCTGTCACTGAGTTCATGCCAGAAAGTCCCTGCTCCCCTTTACTAAGGACCCACTTGGAGACTGAGTCTATAGGCCATATCTGAGTTGGGGTTTTAGGTCCTCTCCATGCATTCTTGGTTGGGGTATCATTCTCTTCAGGGCCCCCAGGGGTTTATTAATGTTTTCATTAAACTTGAACTTTGTGCTTAAGCTAGGAGGAGAAGGGAACATAATCATATTTGGAACTTAAGCATACAATTATGGCTACAAAATAGAACTGAGTTTAAGGCCACAGACTGGGTTGCAGAGAGCAGATGCTGTGAGGACATTAGTTGGGTCCATGAGGACATGAGTCAGGGTAATGGCAGTTGGGATGCAAGGCAGGAGATAGATTTGAAAACTAGGAAAGAAATTTAATCAGCATGATTTGATAATTGGCTAAAGACAGGAGCTGAGAGAAAAGGAGTTACCTCTAATTACGTCTCTATTTTTGGCTTGAGTTACACAGTAGAGGGTGCTATCAAAACCTGATCTCACCAATGCCAGAGGGAGCCAAGGGCTATGTGGGTAGGAGGGGGATGGCAGGAGGGGATGACAGCTAATATAGGTCAGGAAAAGGGAAATGTGTTGTCCTTGGGTTGTAGGTATATATTTGTATTTGTTGTGCCTGTGGGCTACCAAAGGACTGTCTTTGGTAGTACATGGGT